TACTGTTTTCAAGGGTCCCCAGATATTTCTGAAGGGCCCCCATTCATCCTCTTCCTCCTGTGCCCCCTACTGCATGTTACATGCTCTTGTGACTCATTCCTGGAAACAGAGTCCTTCTAGGGCCTTGCTGAGTCCTCTCCCAGCAAAAGGGTCTTACCAGGCTCCTATGTCAGGGAAAGGCACAAGTCTGGGGTGTCCTAAGGAAGGCCGGAAGCCCCAGGGGAGGTGCTGGGAGTTCAGAAGTTTTCAGTCTATCTCCACTTTTCCACACCATCCTCCTCTTACCTAAACACACAGCCATCCATTTCATGGGACCTTGAGCAGAGCCAGAGTCCAGCTCTTCCCTACCCTTGGGTGGTGCCTGCAGCTGACCCAGCAGGGCCCAGCAGGGCTGCTCACCTCATCCTGCAGAAGGAATACTGATAACCTGGCCAGGCCTACCAGGACTCTCTCAGGGCTTGGGTCATGGGCCACCCTGGAGCCTCTTAGGCTGCCATTTGAGCCAGGAATGATGGGGGCCCTGTGGTGTGGGCCAGGGCTGTTTTTGGCACTGGACTCTGTAGGGGGTGGCACAGGCTCCTCCAGGGTCTAGGCCCAACAGGTGACTACAATACGCACCATGGTCCCTTGTGAGGTGGCACTAGACTCTCTGTAAGGAAGGCATGCAGTAACAGCTGCCCTGTGCTCCAGGGTTTTTATGGGTTTGCTTTAAAGATTTTATTTCCAGAAAAAACCAAAAGCAATTAATCCAAATTACAGAGTAGTCATTTGCAATAATATTTGCTTTAAATATATGTATTTTTTAAAACCCCTAAGCTGTGGGCCTCAAGTGAGTTCGAGGTGAAGGACACCTTGAAATAATTACATTTTTTTCTTCTTTTTTTGCTCATTTTATGTTGTGAAAATGGCTTAGTCGATTTGGGGAAGAATTGTAAAATGTTCAATCAACTGCCTTATAAAGGCAACATTATTTTTTTCTCCCATTTCTGCCAGTGTAATCATACTGATCATTTATCCTCTTGCCTCAAGGTGGATTTCTTCAAAAAGGTGTTGCAAGCATCGGTCCAGCTACCTCTCTGTTCCACCCTGGCCAGCACTGGAGAGCCACTCCCCTCTAGAGGTAACCTGGTAGGTGGTACTAGAGACCAGGAGGACAAATCTGAGTATGGTGGGAGTCCATGTGCTGGCAGATAAGCCAAATGCCCCCTGCCCCATGGATGGGTAAGAGGGAGGGGAACCAGGATCGGCTTACCCTTGTTCCAGTCATGGCCGGGAACCTCATCATTGGGATGAACCTGGTCCAGAGAGAGGCAGCCCAGCCTACCTAGGGCCCTCTGTCTGATGAGTAAGCTTGGTGAGAGGCCTTAGACGCTTGGGAAATGGGAGTCCATTACAAGATTAAATTGAGCCAGCTCGGTGGTACAACAGTAACATACTGTCAGGTAAAGCTGGATCCACATGGAAGATCACGGTTCAGCTCCCTGATTGATCTGCGCACGCTGGACACATGCACACACACGTGCGCCTGATCCTGGCCAACTGGGAAGTCTAGGAGGGATTGCAGCATGAAACTCTGTTGGGTGTTCCCACGCAGCCCTCCGCCTCCGTCTCTCACTCTCATGAAATAAACTTTAAAAAGAAGATTAAATTGTGCTTTGTATAATATCAGAACACAGAAACCTGACTGGTACTCAGATCTGCTGAGTGGAGACTGCAAGCATTTCCCAGACATTTTATCACCCAGTGTCTCCTCCCAGATGTATGATTCGTCAATATGTTCTCCCAGTATTTGACTTGCCTTTTCATTTTCTTAACAATGTTAAGAAGAAACATTTAAATTGTAGCATTGTTTTTCTTTTTTTTTAACTTTTAATTTGTGCTTTTTTTTCTCTCGTTTAAAAAAAAACCCTTTGCTTAATTCAAGTTCACCGAGACTTTCCTCTGTGTTTTCTCTAAAAGCTTTACAGTTTCTTAAATGTAGATTAAGGTTCTATTTTGGGTTAATTCATTATGCAATGTGAGGTGAGGGTCGAAGTTCATTTTAGTTTTCTTTGCATCAAAGTGTCCAATTGTTCCCACATCATTTGTTGAAAAGTCTGTAATTTTCCCATGGAATTGTCTTGGCAACCTTGTCAAAAGCTCATTGACTGTATATGTATGTGGGCCTATTTGTGGGCTCTGTTCTATCGGTCTCTGTGCCTATACTTGCACCAACATTGTCTGGATCATTATTGCTTCATAACAAGCCTGGAGATACAGCATAAGCTTTTAACTTTTGTCATCTTCTTTGAAAATGTTTAAGCCATCTTAGGTCCTTTGCATTTCCACATAAACATTAAAACTAGCTTATCAATTTCTGTAAGAAAGTATTCTGGGCGATTTTTATTGGTACTGACATTGAATCTATAGATTCAATTTGGAAGAAGGGGCGTTCTAACAACATTGGACATTTCAGTCTGTGAGCATGGCATCTCTCTCCATTTAGACACATCTCCTTTCATTTCTTTCTGCAATGTCTAATAGTTTAAGATGAGCTTCCTTTATTAAATTGATCACTAATTATATCATGCTTTTATTGCATTATGAATTACTTAAAATGTGTATTTCCAGGTATTCATTGTTAGTATATAGAAGTCCAATTTATTTTTCTACATTGGCCTTCTGTTTTGTGATTTTGATAAACTTACTTACTGGTTCTTGTACTTTTTCTGTACTTTCCTTTGGGTTTACTACATAGACGAATACATTATGAGCACCCCGTTATCATGACCTAATGAGCAAGCATTAGTTGTTTGTGTCTTTCAAGAAATGTATACCCTTCATCTTAGTTTTCAAATGTATTGGCATAAAGTTGTTCGTAATCTTTCCATATTACCCTTGTATTATCTCTAGGCTTATTAGTAATATATCTTCTTTCATTTCTGATATTGGTCATTTATGTCTCTCTTTCCTTCCTGATCAGTTTGGCAAGAGGTTTATCAATAAAACATTCAAGAATTGGATTTTGGCTTTATTGACTTTTCACTATTATTTTTCCATCTTCTATTTCATTTATGTTTGGGCTTTTCTTTATGATTTCCTTCTGCTTACTTTGGGCTTAATTTTTCCTTCATTTTTATGTTCTTTAAGAAGAGGGCATGGATCATTAGTTTGGAATTTTTCTTTTTTTCCTAATTTAAAAATTAAATGCAACAAGTTTTCTGTAAGTGCTGCTTAATTACATTCCAAAAATTTCAAAATATTATTTTTTTTTTCAGATCAAAATATTATTAATGGTTTTCTTTTATTTCTGCCTTCTTATTAAGAGTTCTGGTTTATGTCTTCTGTGTACATCTTTGTGGGATACAGTATGGTTTTTGCAAAGCATGTATACACTGTGTACTAATCAAATAAAGTATATACACATATTTATCTTCTTCAATATTTACATTACGTTATGAACAATTGGCAATAGTTCTAATAGATTTTATTTCCTTGGAAGTATGTATGGAATTGTCTATATTTTTTATTCTTCTATGGTAAAACATAAAAATAGAGGGAATAGTGGTAGATGCCAGAAACTGCACGGCAGAAGGTGTTATGGGTGGGAGTTCAGGAGAAAATATCTTAAAAATTTTTTCATAATTTATTTTTTGACTCACAAGTTATTTAGGAGTGTGTTGGTGAATTTCCAAACATCTAGGGATTTCCAGATATATTCTATTATTGATTTCCGTTTAATTCTGTTGTAATCAGGAACCATGCCTTTGAATGTTTTCAATCTTTTTATATGAATTAGAACTTGTTTTATGTCTCTGAATATGGCTTCTCTTGGTGACAGTGCTATGTATACAGGGAGAGAGTATGTATTTTGTTGTCAAGAGCATACCCATTTAGGATCACTACATCTTGTTGAAGAATTGACCCCGTTACCATTATGACAAGTCCTTCTTTATCCACAGCAATGTTTCTTATTTTGAGGTCAATCATTATTCATCCTGATGTAGTAGCTGCAGATTTTTTTAATTGGTGTTCTTATGGTATATCCCATCCTTTTGCTTTTAAGCTGTGTTTGTAGGGGTTCCTACAGTAGATAGCTTATACTGGAGCTTGTTTTTTCTTAATTCAATCTCATAATTTCTCCCTGTAATTGGAATGTTTTGGTCATTTATGTCATTATAGATATGGTTGAGTTATGAACTTATTAGCTAAACCTTTCTCTTTAGTGGCTGCTCAAATTTAATATATCTTTAATTTAACAATGGATCTTCAAATAATGTTATATACATACAAAGCGTAAAAACCTTTATGATAGTATGCTTGCATTTTCTTCTGTCCTTCTGCACTATTATAAATTTTACTTCTTCATATGTTACAAACTTTTTTTTTGGAGAGGTTTTTGCTATAGGGCACATGCGCTCACCAGAAAGAGAAAGATAGACAGAAAGCAAGAAATCACCCCCCAGGGGGGATGGCCACACCTCACTTTCTTCTCCGCCATTCTCCTCTCAGGATCTTGGGCATGCATGCACATGCACCCTGCATGAGTTTAAGCTATCGAGTCTGGGATTCAGACTGCGGTCGACTACATGGGAGTCCAGCAACGTAGCCATTACGCTATCTGCTGGTCCCATGTTATAAACTTTTTAATGCATGATTGTTTTTCTTTGATAAGTTAGTTATGTTTTTTTAATTTAAATTTATTTATTTGCATTCATTCACTGTACATCATTACAGCATACAAAATGAGATTTTCCATCCAGAGTACACTGTATATTGTCTCAAGCACATCAACAAACATGTTATTCTCAGTAAATAATTTTCCATTTCTTGTTTTCTGTATGTTTCGCTTTTTTTCCCCCATCCTTGATTCCCTATCTCTTACCCTCTGCTATCTCCCCCTCTCCTCCCACACTGTCTCTGGTATCTATGTTTGCTTTCTATACTGTTTCCCCCCACATTTTAACAATTAGTCATACTTTTACTTGTTTTTTCCTTCCTGTTTCCCTTCTCTCCCTTCCATACTAAACTTTTTTTCCTCATTTTATTGATTCACAAAACACCTTAAACTAAAAATATGGACAAAGCTAGAATCTAGTGACAAGTGCACTGTAATTTTCTTCTGAAATTTTTAAAAATTAATTAATTTGCATTCATTCCATGAGTATCATCACAGCATACAAAATGTGATTTTTTTAAAGGTTTTTGCCATAGGGTGCTGGCACTCACCAGTGAGAGACTGAGAGGGAAAGTGAGAAATCACCCGCCCTTGCCAGAGGCAATGGCCATGCTTTAATCCCTTTTCCTCCATTTTCCTCTGGGATTTTGGGCACAAATGCACATGTACCCAATGTGATTTTCAGGCTGCCAGGTCTGAGACTTAACAAAGGTCGGCCATGTGGGAATGAAGCACCTTAACCACCATGCCACCTGCAGGCTCCATGTTTCAATTTTAAAAATTAATGTAAATATCTTTATATTTATCAACCTATTTATCACGTGCAGTATTTTTCATTTTCTTTGTAAGTTTCTATCTGGTATAATTTTCCTTCTGGGTGAAGAATGTTATTAACAATGATCGTAGTGCTCAACTTTTATTTTTTAAAGAATTATTTATTTATGGGGCTAGCAGATGGTGTAATGGTTATGTCACTGGACTCCCACATAGCTGATCATGGTTCAAGCTCCAGACCCAGAAACTTCAAACTCACATAGTGCACATGTGCATGCATGCTCAAAATCCCGAGAGGAGAATGGAAGAGAAGGGACTGTGATGTGGCCTTCCCCCCGGGTGATTTCTCACTTTCTGTCTCTCTGTCTCTCTCTTGTCTTTCCGGCAAGTACACACGCCCTATAGCAAAAATCTCTCTCTCCAAAAAATAATGATCTATTTTAAATTTTATTTATTATTATTATTATTATTTTAAGTTTTCTATAGGGCATGTGTATGCACCAGAGAGAGACTGAGAAAGAAAGAGAGGGAAAGTGAAAGCAAGCCGCCAGGTCCAGGAACAATGATTGGACACGTGGAAGTCCAGCGTCTTAACCACCACACCATCTGCTGGCTCTAATTCTCCCAATTTCCATTTGACTGAAAAATTCTTCCTTTGTCTTCATTTTTGAAACTCATTTTTGGCTTTCCCTTTTAGTATTTCTAAGAAGTCTCTCCATTGTCTTTTGGCTTGCATAGTTTCTGATGAGAAATCTAATTACATATTTAGCTTTTTTCATTTTTACATAGTCTGTCTTTTATTCTCTGGCTACTTGTGAGATTCTCTCTTTATTGCCTTAGCAATTTGGTTGTGATATACTTTGGTATTTTCCCACCCTTGAGGTTCATTGAGGTCCTTGCATCTGTGAGTTTATCATTTTTATTCAGTTTTGAAATTTTTCAGCCAGTGTTTCTTTAAATACTTGACTATCCATCTTCTTTCTCCCCTTCAGACATTCCAATGATGTATATGCTAGGTATATGTTACCCAATGATCAATGATATTTCATTTTCTTATTTTAGTCATTTTCCTCTTTCTGTATCATTTTGGAAATTTTTATTGCAATCTTAAATCCTTTTGATCATTTTTACTTTCTTCAGAATTTAATTTACTATGAATCCTATTCTATTTATTTTTCATTTCAGATAATATACTTTTTATCTCTAGAAGTTCAGTTTGGATCTTTTTTCTATCTTCTACTTTTCTACTCAATATATTTTTGTTTTTCTCTGCCCTTTTTATGACATAGATTATACATATAATAGTTGCTTTAATATTCTTTTTTTTTCATTCTTTTTTGTTTGGAGAG